TCCTTCTCAGCAGGGAAGCAGCAGTACCCACGACTGGAGATACCTTCAGTAAAATGTACCGCAGCTATCCACCAGCTGTTTCCTGCCAGGTTTTATTTGCTCATCACATGCTCTGTTTTCCCATCCTCTTCCTCAGTGCCTCCGGGTCCAGGTGGCTCCCCTTTTCCTCCCTTCCGCTGTCCAGAGGGCCCCCCCTCCCGTGTCCCTGGTCCTTCCCCTCCAATACCCATTGCAGGGTGCCAACGATCACTCAGATTTTCAGGCCAAGAGTGGGCAGTAGCCCTTCATTTAAGGACAGGCTGCTTTACCCCAGCCTGATTTGATTCCTTTATCTCCATTGAACAACATGGGTGTCGAGAGCCCTCTTTTAATTGCAATCAATTAAATTTGCATGCAACCTTAAGTCCCTGTTGCTTGAGATTACCAGTAACCACAACACAAAAGTAGCTGGGCAAGGCAGGAGGTCTTGTCCTTGCTGGGTTAAACTTCGCAAGCTCGTGTCTCGGTCCTTAAATAGTTAAAGGGGCAGAATAAACCCTGCTCAAGATGACCCAAGTGTGCTCTCTTCCTCTTTAGCTGTCGTAGTCTTGGCCTTTGTGCTGTGTTGGCTCCCGTTCCACGTTGGCCGAATCCTCTTCGCCCAGAGTGAAATCATCCTGCATGACCTCACGCAGTACTTCAACCTCATCGCCATGCTTCTCTTCTATCTCGGGGCTTCTATAAACCCCATACTTTACAACGTCATGTCACACAAATACAGGAAAGCGATGAGCAAAATCCTGCACCACAAGCGAACAACTGCGCTGCAGGAGCCTGACCAGGAGTGAAAAGGTTTCTTTTGAAGGTACAGAGCTCGGTGCTTTCACATCAGCTGTTCACCATTGACTTAGATCTTGCAACCCAAGCATTTTGCCAGCTGTAGTGTGGGTTAAAACCCAGGTAGATGGTGCACATGAAGACTGGAACAAGTTTTAAGGCTGTACTTTTGGCTTATCTCTCACTACGTGTTTCGTGAGATAGGTTTCGAACATTTTAGGAAGGTTGGAGTCAATTCACATTATTCCTGCACAGAGGGGCAGGCACGGGGGGAAGCTGGGCTGTTCTCTTCAGTGAACTTAACCAGCCGTGCTGCCAAGCTTAACTGTCCACAAAGCTCCTGCGAAGGGATTTGTCTCCTGTTTTTGAGGACTAGACATTTTGTTCATGACAGACCTGTGAAACGTAATTCAAGTTACTTTCTTCCCACAGAAGCAGAGAGAGATAAAGTGGAGGTTAAAGCCAGGCCAGCTGTTTGCTCTCAGCAAGTAAGTGCGAGAAATACAATCTGCAAGTTCTTGAAAGGAAAGTGATAAGAAGTGATTCATTTTGTGGGACTATGAATATATTGCCTTCTTCGTAAAGGCTGATTTTTTGCTCACCCCTCACGTCTCTTGAGTTGCTTCCCTTATTTTCTGTCTTTTATCTTGTTCTTTACTGAAACTATACCCAGCTTTCTGCAAAGCCAGACCCCATCTCTGCTAAGCTCTGCAGAGAGAAAAGAGTCCTCACCTTTACAGCTCACCTGAACAGACCAGGGAGAAGTTACCATGCAGGCAATCGATGGGGAGGGAAGGCAGAGCAGAAGGCATTTGCCCATCTCCCTTCTTTGTAAAAGAGGCAAACGCTGAGTCCAGATCACCGGTTCACAGGCTGTCCCAACACCTTCCCAACCCCACGTAACAGGGTTCAAGAAATCGTACAGCTTGGTCCCCAGCCTGACACACAGCTCTTGGAAAAGAAAAGGACAGCACTGTGCTACGGTTGCCCCCCAAAAACACTTTTGTTCCAGAAAGATTTTTTTCAGACAGCTCTTAATGACGCTTAGGAACAACGCTGAACATGTTTCTTCACCTTAAATTGCATACTACACAAATGACTGCTCCCAAGTGAGATTAAAATCCACAAAACCACGCAACAACCCCATGGTCAAATTTGAATACATTTGTATTATTTATTGGCTGTATTAAATATATTATCTATTTGATAGTTACAATTTAGTAATACAATGCATGGCAGCTTTAACATAAGTTTGAGATACCTCAAAATTACAATACAAGAAAACTGAAGATGCCTAATACATTAATGCCACTAGGGTATATCGTTCTGGAATGGATAACAGCTGATGTACAATCTGTATTGCGGTAGGCTTTCCCAGACATTTTCTGGAAACGTGAACATTTTGTGGCAATTACCAAAGAATTTTATTTCGCTTTTGAGGAGTCATGACTTGTTAGTATTTACTCTGCAATCCTAATTTATCTTTTAAAATTATCACAAATATTATTGCCAAATAAACCTCTACAAACTCCGTTCTAAGAGTTAAAGAAATAACCCTTTGGCAATAGAGATTTGCGGAAGGCAGTCTTATTTGCTAAAAGTAGACTATGAAGAGAAATAAAGACAGATTGTAAACTCTTCTGCAAACTAAAGACAACTATCTGTATAAAACTCTTTCCAACACTGGAGGGAGAGATTTCTATGATATAATAAATGATTAACTTAAAGTTCTGCTACAAGTAGAACAATACATTCAAACATACATTTTCCAGGACTTTTAATCAAAATAAATAGAGTACAAAATGAAGAGTACGTTTTGAAAAGATTAATTTCAGATTGCACCATAAATCTACTTTTAAGAGTATTAAGCGATACTATGTCATAATTTAGGTTTTCCACATCTGAAATACAACACAATGCCTCAAACTATAATGCAACATTATTCATCAACTGCCATAGGAGAAAGACCCTTAAAAGTGATTAGTTACTGGAAATACTTAGCCTGTAGCACTCTCACATCCAACATTCCACATACAAGTGCATTGCTCTGATGTATATAAAGTGTAGCGGTAGTCTTTGCAAAATACGCTAAATCTACCTTTCTATGGCATGTTCCAAATGCTATTGGGAAGACCCATTCTGAAACACATTCGAAATTTTGCAAATTCCAGCTTCCAAAATATTTGATGTAAAGACGACAGCTGTCAGACTCATCTTTATGCATTCGCAAGCAGATTTCACAAGAACAGTCATATGTAGTGCACAGTGTCCACAAAAAGTCCCCCCCAAGACAAACAGGACGAGTTTCAGAAAAGTTCATAGCAGGCTGAACATTCCCATCTAGAAAACAATGGAATGTGAATCTGCTACCACTGGGATAGCAAGTCATTTAAAACATCGTATAAACGTTATCTAAAAAGAGTTCTTTCATGTACAATTTGATAATTCAGATTAAGTTAGAAGGGCATCCAAAAGCAGTTTGAACTTTTTATTTTTAGGTTAATAATAGTACAAAAACATTTGCTCAGTTTGAGCCAAATAGTGTAACATTTATCATAAATGCACTCTTTCTCCTTAAAGACAATACCTGTGCTTTTCTGACAACACTCCAAAGATTTAATCAGAAGCACAGGAAATTAACTTTTCTCTCAGGCACTGAGAGTGAAATGTGGATTGGGCCAACAGCTGCTCACCAACAGCAGAAAGCATTTCATTCAGAAATGTACAATACAAAAGGGGCCTTTTCTGCAATGTTACATACGAACGCCTTTGCTGTACGGACCTTATGTCCTGCTAACGTTTTGTCTAGCATTTCGATTAAAATTCTAAAAACGCTGGCACCCTCTACATTAACACTTGAAATGATTATTACTGAATCCAAAATATTAAAGTAACTGTAAAGTAGTAGTATCACTAAGTCAATATTCTGCTTTCCTTCTACAGTATATTAAATGTGGTATGCTCTAGTAATGTTTTGCAATACAGTACTGCTCTAAGCGTAAGCATTTGTGCTGCTGTATTTCACGTATACCAAACTACAACAATACCTGATTAAAGATTGCGGATCGACTACCACTGCTCTAGTTGTACTTGAAGAGGACTTGTGTTATCAATGCCTTCTCTCTCTAACCGGCCAAAGGGCCCCACTTAGAATTCGGAGAGAGGAAGAGGGTGCACGCCCCCCCCCCCTTGCACAATAAGGCAGGTTTTTTCGCTGTTTTATTAACAGCTAACCCTGATTACAGAGGACCCAGGATTACCCTTTCTACAAGAAATCTGTGTTCGGTATTTGGAAAGGATGTGCCAACCCAGCCTCACTGTTAGCCAGCAGCAAAAGTGGAAACGCACGTAACTATACATTTCCAGCTAGGATTTTAATTAGAACTAACCATAAATACCCGAAAGAGCTTCTGTACAAAAAGCTGAGTACTGAATAGGCTCTCGTCTACTTGATTACAAAGTACTGAATAACAACAGCAAATAAAATAGCAACCACCGCAAATCCGCAGAGAAGAACAATGGCAATGAAGCGCTCTTCGCGTAACGTCTTCTTAGTCTCCGCCAACTCTGTTGTCAAATCAGCGCCCTGTGGAACCAGCTCCTGTTTCTGAGATGAGAACACTGTACTGGGACTGTAAGGTCCATACAGTTCTTGTGATCCAGTAGAGTCTTGGGACTGACGGCCAGCACAGACTCTGATCCGATATTCACAGTTTGTCTGCAAGCTTGTGAGACGGAAGGAAGCCTCTGATCCCTTGTATACCTAAGTCAGAAGAAGAAGAGAGAGAACACTTTGCAGGGGATTCATCTCACAAACAGTATGCGATACTTTCTATTCTGCTTTATGAACGCATGCAGTGCCGGACACTGCCTGAAGTTCTTCTCTTCAAGCCAATTTAATAAAGTCTCAGCTTTATTTCTGAAGAATTTATGAATCATTTTCTTGTGAATAATCCAAAGCTCCCTGCTATGCCCCACATGGACAGACCTGGATTGTGAAGCTCGGGGAAAAAAAAAAGAGGAGTCATTCTGCGCAGCTACTGTTCCATACAGCTCCCCACAAACTGCGGGCAAGCACTGTCTCTGACCGACAAAGGCAGCGATGCCGCAGACTGTAAGATTTAAGAATCAAAAGAGCCAAGGGAAATGCTGGGAGAACAGGATAGAACGGTGTTAACCCACTTCTAGACAACCGACCCTCCCAGTGACCCTCAAGCCCGCCTTCCCAGTCATTTGCTTTTACATACAAGCAAAGGGTCAACAGGGAAATGAACCTTTATGATCTTTAATCCAGGGCAACTTTGATGCCATGAAGAGGCAGAACGGTAGGACCCTATACTGGAAGTTGTCCTCACCCATCACAACTTAAGTCTCACTGAGAGGAACTGACAGAGACGTAAAATGAAGCAGCACCCTGGGAGTCAGGATTGTAAATTGAATCCCTTGCCAAAATGAAAAGGATCCCTGCCACTAGCATCACCAAATGGAATTTCAGCCTTCAAATATAGACATTGGTTTTTGCAATAATTTTTCAAAGTAAAAAACCCTCAGGTTCATTATGTTAAATAAAAGGTACCTGATCAAACTCTCTCCCAGCAGCAAGCTGAAGGATGTAAACAATGGAATCTCCTTTCATCGGCTGTAAAGGTTCCCATGTGATTTCATAAGTGTTTTCTTCCAGCTGATTTGCTTTGGGTGCTGGAAAAAAGTGATTTGTTGGTATTTTAGAAAAAGAGAACAATAGTCTCTACAAATGTTCCTGTTTTTTCAAATCAGAAGAAAAGGTCTAAAATCACTAATTATTACAGTGACTCATTTTCACAGTTAATGTAGCAAATAGGTGCTGGTTTCAGTGACAAGAAGGAAGTTTGCTTACTCTGGCTTAAAGTACATTTTACTTTAGTACATTTTCCATTGAAAATATTTTGGTTCTAACGCAAGTGACTGGGCAGTGCATATCTAAAAGCTTAAGGTTTTTCCGATACATTTGTTAACAATGCAGAGGTAACTATCATTCTCAGAGGTAACAATCATTCAAAGAATTTTAAGCAATTAAGATTTGTTTCTTTTTTTTTTTCTATATTTCATGACATAAGCTTAAAAAAATGATCATTGTTGTATTTGTAGGTTACACTTTTCTTTCCAAGCTGACAAGATGAGCTTCTGACATCTAATGCTTGTACAGATGAGCAAGCACTTCCAAATCACTGGAGAAAACAGCATTTATGTCCATGTATCTCCAGAGCTGAAATTACATGTTATAAAAATGGTTGAGTCAACCAGTTTTCCTGCAGGTAATCAGCATTCTGATCTTCAGAATGACTTTCTCTAACGGCACTCTTTAATGTTCATATCAGAAAATGAAGATCAGAAGAATTAGTTGTGTTCTTATTTGCCTACATGCTGTTGTAACTTATATCAAGTGATAGATAACCCTGAAAAATGACTTTCCAGTTGAAAAAGGGTAGAAAAATCCTCACTGTCGCACGCTGGTCCTTCAGCAGTAGAGCTCTGCTTATACCAAGATAGAGCCCATCACAGCTAGTTTCTGTTCTCTGTCCCACAGAGGCCCTGGAAAGATGCTGGGCTGGGAAGAGTCAGGTTGTAGCATTCAATCGAGGAGGTAAATGGTTTGCAGAAGTTTCTAGTGCAGTGTAAGCTCACCTTTAAGAGATGCGGGTGGAGACTTAGTTGTAGTGAAAGCGTAAACTTCAGAAAACTCTCCCTCTCCAGCATCATTATATGCCTGGATTTTAAAATAGTATGTAGTGGATTCACTGAGTCGCTGTACCTTGTATGTATGACAAGGACCATTATAAACAGTAACAAACCTGGAAGAAAACCACAGAATACACACAAATTAGAATTATTCAGTAATCGCAAATGTGTATGTCAATATCAGAAGTGGAACGCTTTTCTACCTAACCGAAGTACAAAAAAGTGACAACACATTCCCGGTGCCCCAGCTTTCCACATGCGCGCATGATGAACGTCAGGCAGTTTGACCTCTGTTATTGTTCTCAGCAGTTCACGGCATGCATTAAATCAGCACCACACACCATCCATACTGGTGCAAGTCTTAATTTACATTCATGAAGCATTCATTCAACCTGTCTAGGCACTAAGCTACAGCCATACACAGGCCACCACTGAAACTACATGACCAAACTCTTGATTTGAATCAAGAGAATAACCCTCATATATACTAGCTAAGTGGTAATTTCAAGTTAAAGAACAGCTGTCAACCCCATGTTTCTTATATGCAAACTGGACTTCATTTTAAAATTTCCCAAAAAGATAAAAAACCTGGCAACATAGGAAGATCGTAAGATATTACTAGTTAAATAATATTTACTGTTTACAAGTAAATACTAGTGCAACAGCTATTAACAGCACTTCTGGTTGAAAGATGAGATGCAAACATGCAAATTAAGGGGCAAACTTTAGGATGCCCAAATGACTTACTAGTGCAAACAGAAGCGAGAATACTTAAAATGTCTTAAAACTTGATATGAGGTTGTAAAGCAACAATATCCTGAATGTACTGATTATCTTACCTGCCAAACCTGTCCTCCATCTGCAAGTTGAATTGTGTAGGGTTGGTAATTAAAGCTCTGCTAGGACCTTCACCCCATTTAAGTTTAAGGCTCTGGTAGCTGAAGACCACACATTCAAGGTGAGGAGGGTCAGGAGGTAGTGGTTTTGTTTTGGCTTTAATGGAATGACTGAAAGGACCAACTCCAAAGCTGTTTACGGCCTGTATTCTAATTCTAGAAGTGTGAGAAAAGCAGCTATATGGTTAATTTACCGAGGTCCTGAAAAAATGCTAGGTAATAAAGCAAGAGTTAAATTTTGTAAAGAATGTAACTCCAAACAATAAAGCAATTAAAATGCAGTTAGAAACTAGCTATAAAAATAATCTACTTCAAAACAAGTCAACTAATTACATTGTTTTAAACATAATGAAGCTTCAGTGTTCCTCAGTATTGGTCAGGTTTATTCTGTTCAGTGAACAAGCACCCAGGTCCTCCACATTAACCTGAACTGTTTGCCTCCCACTGACACTGAAGATCCATCATCTGAACTAAGCTTTAACCAAGACTAAGCATGCAACACAGGAACAGCTACTCTACTCTTATCCGTATATTCCTCCTGTTTTGGTGAGATATTGATCATCCCATTACATGCATTGCTTCAGAATAAAAAATTCTAAACCCAGAAAACTTAGAATGAAGCCTTGGCTGTGAGACAGAATGTTAATCTTTACACAGCAATCTTAACTCTTTCCACTAAAACATCATGGCTTGATTCTGGACATTACAATTTTATTTTGTGTTTTCAGAGTTGCAGAGTGAATTAGGCAAATAGTCTGTAAGCGAAATGAAAAATTGTTCTAAAAATTTAACACACTACCCTCAAAGCTATTGACTGAAAATCCTACAAAGGTGTTTTCAGAATAAAACAATTATTACCTGTACAGAGTGTCAGGCAGCAGATTCTCAAGAACGTGGCTTGTATTTCTTCCAACAGTTACAAGCTGCTTTTCCCCATATTCTATATTATATCCAGTGATCTCTGACCCGTGGCAACATGGTTCTTCCCATTGAATTGCAAGGCACGTTGATAAAGGAAGAGAAATTTCCATTTGATCTTCTTCAAGTAAATGCAGTACTGACACTGCTGCAGGCACTGACGCAGGGGTTGTCACCACACCGGTCTCGCCAAACAACCCAACACCAGCGACATTCACAGCCTGAAACAGAGACCATGTATTGTTCACCGAATCTACATTTTTCTAACCAGATTGTCACTTCTATCACACTCCCCTTTGCATGTTATTAAAAGCAATTTGGAAGAGAATGGAAGAATCTCCCAAATAAAATGTAAACACGGTAAAATGTCTGGTATTTAATGCAACACTAGATCCAAACTTCTTCTCTAGACACATGTAGTTAGGAGGGACAGGGGAGAATTTTTTTACCAATTACCTTCTATATTGCTTTAGTAAGTGTCAGTATATGATTTTGCTCATCTCCAGCTGAAGTTTTTCTTCAAATTGTGTGTAGGTTAGTACTACTTGCTTAGTAACATGTAACAGAAGGTTTTTCATACCTGTACTCTGCAATAATATGTGGTTGCAGGCGTGAGACCTTTTACTTCATAGCTCTGGCAAGGGCCAGTGTAAATGATATGCATCGATCCTTCCACCTGTCCCCAGTCCAGTCTGTATTCACTGATTTCTGCACCATTGCACCCAGGACTCTGTAGGTTAAGCGATAAATTTTCTTTCAGCTATTGTACATGCACACGTTCACCATGCAAGTGTGATCTCCCATTACACTGAACAGAGAC